CACAAATATATATTATCATAAGAAGCGAATTGAATTATAATTACCTGATGTCTGTGACGACGGCATTTTCGTTGCAGAATTTTTGTTCTGGTGCGTAAGGTCAATATTGGGGTGATCTACATAATAAAAAAACAATTTTCAAAAAATGTTAGAATATAAATATTGTAAAATGAAAAACCACAAAATAGGACCAATCACATATTCCCCTTTCTATTTGATATTTACGTCTTAATATTGTCTCTAACCATAATTACCTGAGTCAGTTTTCTCCTTAACAAATTTTCGAGCCTCACAAATTAATTCAGTTGCCTTACGGATATTTCCAAGATTAAACCAGGCAATTCCTAAACCGGTAAGAGCCTTCTCTTTCAGAAGGTGATCACCAAACTCTGTGTCAAGAATTTGCAACGCTCTTCCGTACCATTCTAACGCCGTCTCGTAATCACAATCTTTGCCACAAGCTGATGCCAAATTTAAACATGATGTACTTTCGCAGTGTTTATCACGAAGTTCCATGGCAATTTTCAATGCTTCTTGGTAATATTCTATCGTTTTCGCATAATCACCGATGTTGCACAAGATATTTCCAATGGCTTGGTTTGTGCGATATTCTTGATATCTTTCTCCAACTTGTTTGGAAATCTCTTTCGCTTTCTCGTAAAATGTTATTGCTTCTTGATCTTGACCAGCAATAAAACGGCAGCAGTATCCGCACCATTCATTGATATTTCCCTCTAGAGCTTCACAACAATTCCTCTGCATTCCTTTATCCTTTAGTTCCTTATCTATGCTTAATGCTTTCTGGTAAAATTCAACTGCTTTCTCGTGTTGATTTAACTGTCGAAAGGTGTGACCAAGCATGACACAGACGCTGCCTTCCTCTTTTCTCTCACCAAGATCTTGAGTCATTTCTCGAACTTTGAGATACGATTTCACAGCAGTATCAAACTTACCCTTCTTGTAGTAGAGATGTCCTAAGTTTGAGTAAGCATCCGTTTCGGAACGTTTATCATTTGATAATTCAGCACCTATGATTGATTTTGAGAAATACTTTTCTGAAGATTCAAAATCGCCAATATAACTGAACGCACTTCCTAATCCTATGCTAGCATTAACCTCTCTCGTTTGACATCCAAACCGTGTGGCTAGTTTTAACGCTTCGTGGTAATATCCCATGGTTGCTTGGTACTGATTAGATTGCAGGTGGTTGTAACCTAGCCATTGATATGCTATTACTTCCATCTCATCTCCCTCGAGGTGTGGAAATGTTATACGTGCTTTCTGGTAATACTCGATTGCTTTTTTATACTCAGATGTTGCAGCGAATACGTTTCCCAAGTGTTGATAAGCTTTTGCTTTGATGTCATTGTGATTCATTTCATACGCAAGTTGAACTGCTTCTTCGTAGTTTTTGATAGCCTCCTCATTCCGGCCTTCTGTTTGGCAAGAACGTCCCAATATCAATAATTGTTCTGCAAGCGCAATTCCATGATCAGTCACACTTTCGTTTCCGATGTGTTCCACATTATCAACATTTTCAACGTCAAGTTTAGCGTTGTGTGATAAATTAGAGTTTATAATGCTATTATAATTATGATTGTCATCAACTGCATCTAAATGAAAAGATAAAAATTAGGAAGACAAGTGATTCAATAAATTTAAATTTTCGGAAGAAGATCAAGAAGTATAGTTGGTTTACTTCTACGCGCCTTAATATATAAATATTCAATGTTTTAGTCTTTTAGTTTTTTGTTAGACTTTAATTATTTTCGTAAGTGGCAAGTCATATTTTGAAGTGTGTAGTGAGAGGGGTTAGAGTATACGAACTATGTGCTCCTCAAACATCCTGAGTATCTAACGATTCGATTACCACAATAGTTCGACATAAGGAAAAAATGAATTTTGTGCCACTGACTGTCGTATGTTTTGTTATCTTAAGGTTACAGAACGCCTTTGAGTGTTAATTTTGCCCAAACCTTTTTTTATTGATTTCGATGAAAGCATTAAACTAGTTCTACTATCTGACGAAGTTTCAATTGAACGAAAATATTGAAAACTCGCAGAGTTATTAGTAATAAATACATTTCGCTGCAATAACAAAAACATGGAAAATGTAGGCCTAATATTCAAAATTCAATTCTCTCCGAAAGAATTTTACGGCAATTACTGATTTTCAAACAAATTGTTCTTCTGCTGGTTTTAACAATTTTGTCAAATTTTCGCAGGACAAAGCTAAAGACGTCAATTCAGTCGTCAGACAAATTGCCATATCGGCGGATGACGAAATAAACAAAAATTTCCGAACACAATTTTTAGAACATCTATTCTACTGTATAAAAATGATATTTTCAGAACTATATCTTAAAACCAGCAGGAAAACAACTCAAAAACGTAAAGGTACCGCGATCAGTTAAGATTTTCCTGAATAA